CCAGTGGCTGCAGCAGCCATCTCGTACGTATGCAGCGGTGCTCGCAGCGGGAGCAGGAGGTGGAGAGACCTCGTTGTGTTAGGGACATGGTCCCGAAGGAAGCAGGTGCTTCGTGTTGTGCTGAACAAGGTTCAGGCACAATGTCTCGATAGACGCATAGTTGTTTTGAAACAACTTGCTCGATGAGCATGATCCAAATGCGGATGCGCTGAAACAGCGAAAGTAGTTTTCCAGACGGGGATCAAACCACAGGCTCCAGGACGGAGCTCTACCATTGGGCTATAAGGGCGATGCCCGTACGTCTGTTCGAGAACGGACTACTCATGGTATGAGAGGGCTGCGCCCGGGTGGAATCGAACCACCGAGCTGTGGCTTCCAAAGCTAACGTTCGATTACTGAGCTAAAAAGGCGTTGTCCTTAAGCTTGTCCTTTCAAGGACAAGAGTTCATGGAACGAGAGGGCTGTGCCCTGGCGGGTTCAAACCACCGACCTGTGGCTCTCAAAGCCAACGCTCAACCATTGAGCTAAAGGAAGGTTGCCCTTAAGCTTGTCCAAGCGTGGCGGAATTGTTCAGGGAGCGCGAGGGCGACGCCCTGCTAGGATCGATCCACCAACTTATCGCTTGTGAAGCGAGTGTTCAACCGCTGAGCTGTTGTCAACGACTCGGATGAGCCAAGAGCATAGCTCTAAGCGGTTTGCAGCTCTTGGAGTAGACGCGGAGCGCGAGCGAAGTTCTGAGCCCGCTTGAGAGATAGATGCGCGCTGCGCTTGAAACATTGGGCTGTGAGCCGACGACGAGAAGCTGGGCATCAACGATGCGTAGGCGTTTGTGAGCTCACGGAGCTGTACAACGCTGGTGTGAGGTATAGTAACCTCCGCCGTCTTAATAAGACGTGACCTCGCTGAGGAAGGTTTCGAGAACGGAATGTTGTCATCTTATTGGGGGAAAGTGTAACGGGGCTACATGGTGTGGAACACACAGGGGTATGAAGTACCCAGAGAGCTTACAAAATATCATACATAAGTTGGCGAGTTAGCAAGGTATCTCAGTACGTCGACTGAAAGCCACACATTATGTATTTGATTAGGTTTAGCTATGCTAGTAGTTAAACAGATGCATTTACGCCTAGGCGGCTTGGCCGCAATATTGGTACATAAAACACTTCTGGTTTTGAAGCATAAAAGTTAAGGTATTAACTTTGAGCCCTAGTCTTGGGCTGTAAGCGTCCTTTGGATAAGAAACTTAGTATTAGTGACTCTTTGAGTCGAACGTCTTCCTCTGACACTAAAGCTACGGCAGCCCCGCTGCAGTGTGTGTTAGTGATCCTGACGAGATTGAGTTAAATGCAAGGCAAGCCATATCACGCTATCGTTGGCTTGCTAATGTATCTAATGCTCGAGACAAGGCCTGACACCCATTTGCAGTGCGAGAGTGCAGACAGTTCTCGGCAAACCCTGGAATTGTGCATTGGCGTGCCGTAAGGACAATTTTGAGGTACTTAAAGCAGACAGAGAACTATGGTCTAGTGCTAGGTGGAACCAAGTATACTGGTTGCCCCTTGCAGCTTAGAATGATAGCATTTATATATATGCAGATTTTGCGAGCCACCCCAATCAACACTCAATCGCTGGATATGTGACGATGTATGGCGAGAGCCCAGTGTCTTGGTGCAGCCAAGCAGGGGGGAACTCTAGTACCTTTTCACCACTGAGGCAGAATACATAGCGCTGTGTATGCTAGTGCAGAAAGTTATACATTTGAGGATGATGAGCAAGAAAATGCTGAAGAGGTAGCCAGATACAACTGATGTTTATGTGGACAACGCAAGTGCGCTAAAATTAGCGAAAAAAACTACGTCACATTCCAGAACAAAGCAAATCAACATCAGGCATCACTTCATCCGTGAGAGCAAGAAAAGCATTAAACTGAAGTCAAAAATGTCTCCAGCGCAGCAAATGTTGCCGATGTCCTTACAAAGTCATTGCCCCATGCAACATTCGAGCGGAACAGAGAAGCCCTGAGAGTTAAGTCAATGCATGATCGTAAGAATACCTCCGAGAAGCATCACATGGGGCACTTGCGGGGAAGTTGAGCGTGTGATAGTCACTCGGTCACAATGATGATACTCTTTGGCAGTGACAAGAAATAAGGGACACGCTGTGTAACTAGAGTACGTAACCCATTTAAAAAACTATAGCCACCATACGTACAAGCTTTTACCCAGTACCTCGCAAGCAGCAGCATCGAATATCAAAGTTATTTATTAAAATAATAAGTGCATTTTAAAATAGCTATATGTCCGTTTTATCCAGCCCCGCAAAAGTATGATGGCATATACGGAAAGTTTATAAACTACAAAAATGTCGGTGGATGTTGATATCCGCGACGATTCCGGTTCTTCTATGTCACGCTCATCGCATTCCTCGCTGAGTAGCTCTTCTGGCTTCAGTTCCAACTCGGCTTCATCTGCGCCCGCATCAGAAAGTAGACTCACTTCTGGTACTAACGTGGTCTATTAGTTGATGGCCCACTGGGGAAAAGTTAAGCGGCAAGATCCATATCTAAAAACCTATTTGTCCCCTGACTTTCTGGTTTCTTGCATTTGATTGGAGAGACGCCAAATATCTTTGTTTTAGCCCTTCACATAAAAAAACGAGTCCGTTTAAACTGTAATAGCGCTGGTCAAAAGTTGGCGAATATATTTTATTTATTTCCAGATTATCAGTTCATGG